ACAAAGGGATAAAACCAATGAACAGTAAAAAAATAAATTAGTAATTTATTTCTTTTTAGTTAATCTCAAAAATGTAAAACCAGGAGACAAAAATTTTTATCATCATAAAGATATTACTCTTTGTAATAAATGATGTGAATAGTTAAAGAAAAATATACTTTTCATTTAAGATAATTCATTGTTTCTAAAATATTTGTGATAGTCATAATATATATATATATATATAAGGCATCATTTAAAAAAAATTCGTGTCAAGAGACAAAAATTACTGAAAAGCAATAATTACTTTTATTACTTTTTAATGAGCAAGGCATTCTGCTCCTTAATATTTCAAAATGATTTAACAAAAATTTCAAATACCTATATTGTTGATGGCTTTTACTATTGTTTCTGAAAATAAACCATAACAGATTTCATAGTAGAAAAATTATTAAAAACTCAATTCATATACTATTTACTCTATATGGTATAGTGATTAAAAGCGAGACATTTACAATAAGTTCAAAATATATTTTCAAAAATCACAATTTCTGTCTTTTTATAAAGAGTAATAATTTGTGCATAAATATGGTTACCTTTTAGTGAAACTAAAATGAAAAATAAATTATGTGTTATAAACGTTTCAATAACGTTCAATAAAACGTTTGAAGTTTCCAATAGTGCAGACATCAAACGAATTGTGCAATATTGATTTGAAATTATACTTACGATCACCCCGTTTCTCTAAAAACATAATAAAATTAGTTTTGTACAAGAATGCTTTTCATTAAAAATTTAAGTTATTGTTTTTCAATAGAAGAGATTTTTTGTGATTGGTAAGAAGCATGGAAGTTAACGCTATTTTGAGAGGGGAATTTTCAAAATGAGGGGTTACAAATTGATTATTTTTGCTGACTAGACAAATGGGGGTCATTCAAATTTTCACATTAGAAAAGTTATTTTAGTAATCTAAACTCCTTCATTAGAAGAAGTAATCCCTTATAAAGTGCGAAAATTTTGCTTTTCAATAACGTCGATATTTATTTTCTCATATGCACCGAAGAGCCATTACTTTATGACCACCCTCCATCTATAACAATGAGCTCGCCCATTTTTTCATGGTTTCTCGCCCAGGAACAATGTTTTCATGGGGCACACTAGGACCCATAATCCTCATAGAACAATCCCTGACGTCTGTAAGCTACTTGAACATAGTTGCAGATCAGGTTCACCCATTCATGGCAACAGTTTTTCCAGCGGGGGTTGGTGTTTACCAACAGGATAATGCACCATGTCATATGGGTTGAATCGTCGAGGAACATTTCAGAGATTTTCAAGTCATGTCTTGGTTCCCAAATTCACCTGACCTTAATCCAATAGAGCATTTGTGGTCCAACTTGGAAAACCAAATTCGTGCTGCCACGCAATGTGAGGGAATAGCAGGATCAGTTGGTGAACGCTTGGTACCAGATACCTCAGACTACCTATCAGCACCTTTTGGAATCAAAGCCACGGTGAGTGCTAGCAGTTTTGAGGGCTAAAGGTGATCCTACATGTTATTAGCAGAGTGGTCATAATGTAATGGCTGTTCGGTGTATATCAAAGCAATAATTCTTAAATTGTATGCATATTTTCTCTCAGCATAATAATTTTAAATTTCTAAAAATATTTTGTGACAAAAAAGCCTTGAATCATTTCTCCGGGAATTTTAATTATGCTTGCTTTTGGGACTCTCTCTTGAGCTAAAAAACATATTGTGATTATAATTTCAAACGTAGATTTACATAAGTTTTTAACTGATGAAATATTGTTAAGTCTATCGACCAAAATTTACGGCCCCACATAGAAATAGTATTATAACAATAAATAAGATTAACTTGCTCGTTGTACTTAATTTTACTACAGTTTACTACCACGACTTAATTTTTGATAAAGTTTTTGTTTCATCACACTTACTTTTTATATAATATTTTCGAACTGAAACAAACAAAGTTCTTTATTAAACTCTCTTAGTAATGGAAAACCAAATAAAATTTTAAATATAAAGTTAAACAAACTGAAATTATAATAATCAATACACATTATTTTGCAATACATACATGTGTCTAAAATAAGTATTCTTACTCTGAGAAAAAAAATTCTGATAAATTTTTTTTGACATTTTCGGTAAATAGAAATCTAATTCTGGTAAATAAACTCAAAATATACTTTATTTAAATAATTTATTCAGTAATGGTTTATTTGGTTCATTTCATTTGGTAATCATGGTTCATTTGGCTTGGTAATCATGGTGCATGTGGCTTGTTAATCATTCATTTGGAAATTATGGTTTTCAAAATTATAGCTCTTATTTCCACACATTCATTAAAAAAAGCAAAACTGAAGTGCAAATTTAACTGAATAAATGGTTTTAATGCCATGCTTTAAGATATCAGGATAAAATGACCATGTTTTATCACATATTATAAAACCATATTTAATTGTTAATTTTACCAAAATCATTACCAAAGCATTTCGGTAGAGCTTTTTAGTGTTCCGATAGAGCCAGAAACACGGTAAATTTTATCATATTCTGGTAGTTACGACCATATTTGTTTTCTTAGTTTATAATTCTTTTCAAACTCGGTTAATTTTCGACACCTACGTTGATTTTGTATCGTAATTTCTTGGACCATATTGCCTTCGATGCAAAATTTTAATATTTTTGATAACACCTTTCAAAACATTTTTCTATAATTTTAATTATATATTTTTTAGTTATTGCACTTTTATCGATTTGGCTTAGGGAGAATTGTATCGCATATGAAGAGATGCATAGGAAAAAAATTATTTTTGGTTTCACTTGCAAATTCTCTTTATAAAGTAGAGTTAATTATGTGAAATTTATTAAATGAATGTTACAAGTGTTTGAACGATTTGAAATTTGTCGATGAACGATATGAAATGTGACATTTTTAAACTTTAAACTAGGTCCGATACAATCCGAACATTATAGTAAAAACCCACCCCCTGCCTTTTCATTTAACTGCCTATCATTAAACTTAAAAAGATTTCCTGTTTGAAAACTAAAAGGGCATTAAATGTTGTTTTCAATGATAAATAGGAAAAAAGTATTATCTTTTTTTGACAGAATCTTGGTTGAAGTTAGCTTTGTTCACTTAACGTCTTTTGTTACAGAAATTTTCGATTGCAAATTTAAACCAGGCAGCTAACACATTGGCAAATAGAGCCTCAGACAGTGTATTGGAATTGAAGAGGATAAGTTCATACCTTTGTTGTTGAAAAAATAGTGGGAGCTAAACTTGGTTTCGAGACAAATGGTTTCCCATTTCTAGTGGCTTATAACATTTTTGGATTAAGTGTTGTCAGACTGGCATAACAACGCTGTAAAGTGTTCAAATGGGAGTAAGGAGCCATTCACATTACAACTTGTTGCATAGATGTTTATATAGGTCATATTACGGCAAATATTAGGAATAAAACCTGGCAACTACCCCTTTATCTGCTACAAAACTATTTTAAATGTATTATATTAACAATCGTAACTTAGCCTTAATTTTCTATTTTTTCCATTGCGCATATTTTTGAAATAAAAATCTTTATAAACAGGAAAATAATAGCTTAATTACTTACTAATCCCATTCATAATTATTGCTGTCGTTATCTATGTAATTCAAGTATTCATAGATGCGTTTGTAACTGGTATAGACGTGTAATATAACCGATATAAAAATCAACATTAGCGTTAATTTTTCATTGTTACATTGCATTGCGTAGCAGGTTGTAAACCATTTTTTCTTATTTTATTGATTGCAAAACACCTAACTTGTTCATGAGGTATACAAAGAGTGCTAAATGAAGTTGTAATGGCGGAATTTGCAAAGACTAACGTAAAAAAATAACGAAAATACAAACTACCTATATGTAAGATTATAATAAGTTTTATGGAAAGCCGTAGACTTGGGATCGGATAAAGTATTTTCAAAAGCACCACCCCAAAATCATTAGAACGATTATTTAATATCAAGATATTTGTTTTTTAGTAAATGAAAGTTTTCCTAACTTCTTTTTAAACAGAACTTTGGAACAGTACTTCTGAATTAATTTTCGAAACCAAGTATTTTATAAAAGCGATTTCAAATAAAAATTTAAGTTGATATGCACTCCAATTTAAACTTGTCAATTCCCCATACTTAAAAATTGCTCTCTCTTGTCTTAGCAACAAACAAATTTTAATTA